ACCCTAAACCCTAAACCCTTGCGGACCAGCTCTCCGTTGAAACCCTCAGTAACAGTGCCGTCTTCAGCCATAGTGGCATTATAAAATTCGGCGAAGTCAACGCGAGGGTTTGGCAGCAAGAGAGTCAAAAACTTAAAGGAAGAAACAACAAAAGCTTGCGGCAAAAACTGCAGCCAACCCACGTACACTTTGTCCCTGAGACGCACACAAACACCGAGGGTTTAGGGTTTAGGGTTTAGGGTTTACGGTCTGGGGCTTGGGGTTTACGGTTTGGGGTTTAGGGTTTGGGGTCTGGTGTCGTGTGCGCAGCAGAGGCAAAAATGAAAAACCTGAACTAGGGTTTAGGGTTTAGGGTTTAGGTCAAACAAAAGAGCAGCAGCTGCGTGGACTCTGCAGAATCTCGAGCAAGAAAGGAACCGGAAAAAGGTTCGCAGCAAAACGCTGAACCCTAAACCCTAAACCCTAAACCCTCGGGCTCACGTTATATCCGTGTATCCTGCTTTAATGGCTTTTTCCAAACCCGCAAGATCAGCAGTAAAAGTGAGTTCGTTATTTTCATCAACAGCAAAAAGTCTCAAAGATCTGGCCATAGTTTCTAGGCGTTCGCGAATGGGCACTGCTGCTGCTGCTGCTGTTACTGCTGCTGCTGCTGGGGCTGCTGCAGCGGAGGAGGGGGGGGCGCCTTGCTGCTGCTTAGGAGCAGAAGGCGCAGCAGCAGCGCTCGTTGGTGCTGCTGCTGGTGCGGCTTCTGGGGCTGCTGCTGCTGCTGCTGCTGCTGGAGTTGCTGCTGCGTCTGGGCCCCCACTGAAAACGGTTGGTGCTGCTGCTGCTGCTGTCTGGGGTGTCTCGACAGCTGGCGGTGCTGCTGGCGCTGCAGGAGGAGCAACAGCAGCAGGAACAGGAGCAGCAGCAGGAGGAGCAGCAGCAGCAACCGGGACGGTGGCAGGAGCCGCAGGAGCAGCAACAGCAACGGGAGCAACAGCAGCAACAGGAGCAACTGCTGCTGCTTGAGCTGGGACGGCAGTGGCAGCCTGCGGTTGCTGCAGCTGCGGCTGCTGCAGCTGCGGCTGTTGCGGCTGCAGCAGCAGCTGCTGCTGCGGCTGCGGCTGCGGCTGCACTGCAGGAGCAGTCAGGTAGGCTGCTGTTGCTGCGTTCGTTGCTGCAGCAGGAGTTGATGCTGGCAGCGTCTGCGGGGCTGCTGCAGCAGTTGCTGCTGATGGTGCTGCTGCTGCAGCAGGCGCAGCACCGAGGACAGCAGCTGCTGCTGGGAGCGCAGCAGGAGCTTCGTTTTGCTGCTGCAGCAGCGCGCCCTGCGTCTGCAGGAAGACCGTTTCGGGCTGTTCCCCTGCAGCGTGTGCGGCGCCGCCGCTGCTGCTGCTGCTGCTGCTGCTGCTGCTGCTGCTGCTGCGCCTCCTGTGGCGCCTCCTGCCGGAAGGCATGAGGTTAAGCAGGGCCATTTGGTCTTCTCCGTCTGTTGCTTTTGCTTCCAACTGAGAGAAAATAGAATTAAGTTTTGAAAGTCTGATTTGCTGCAGCTGCTGATGAATTGCTGCTGCTCTGTCGAGGAAGCCGTCCTGCTGCAGCAGGCGCTGTACGTACACCCCAAAGGCCTCCACTGCAGCAGCAAAAGCAGCAACAGCTTCATTTTCACTTTCTTCGAAGTCCCCCCGCAGCACAACGACGCTGCCAGCAGCAAAAACGTTGCTGCTGAGAGCAGCAGCAGCAGCAGTAGCAGCACTTTCTTCTTCTTCTTTTCCCCAGCCCAAAGCGCAAAAAAGAGAAACCAATTGTCTTCTTCTTTTCAGCAGCACAGCTTTAATGTCTAGCGAGTGGAAAGCAGCAGCAGCATCTGCTGCGCTCTGCTGCACCTCCTGCAGCAGCGCAGCAGCAGCGGCGTACGCTGCAGCCAGCTCCGCGTCCACCTGCTGCTGCTGCTGCGCTGCTGCGTACTGCTGCAGCAGCAAATTTAGAATCCCGGGGGCCCCCACGTGGCCCTGCCAGTTCTGCAGCAAAGTCTGCGTCACTGCCAAAGACAAAATGCAGTTTTTTGCTTCCACAAAAGACCCAATAAGTTTCTGGTACTGAGGGCCCCCGCAGCTGAGCTGGGGGCCCCCTGCTGCTGCTGCTGCTGCTGCTGCTGGCAGCTCGCACAGCGCCGGCGGCGCCTCTGCATGCATGCAAACTTGTTTGTTGTCTTTTGCGTCTGTCAACTTCGACAAAAGCTGCACCCAAGGAGAAGAAGGATGTTTTAAACTTTCCAGTTCCTGCTGCAGCACTTCAGCAACTGCTGCCTGTCCTTCGCAGGCTTCTTCCGACTGCAGCACGGCCTCTTCGTCCTCTGCTGCAGCCGCCTCCTCCGGCCCGCTGCTGCTGCTGCTGCTGCTGCTGCTGCGGAGGGAGAGCTCTGCAGCAGACAGCGGGGACAGAGAGGAGGCCAGCTGGGAGGCCCCCTGGCGCTTCGCAGCAGCAAACAGACACGGGAGAGGTGGACCACTGGTCAGCAGCAGAGCTGCCAGAGAGGTCAGCGCCAGCAGCCCGCTGCTGCTAGGCAGCCGCATCCTCGGGGGAAGCAGAAAAGAAAAGAAAGAAAGAAAATGAAGTGAAATAAAAGAAGAAAGAATAAATCCACTCAAAAGGACTCCGATATGCAAAACAATCCACAGAGACGCCAGCCACCGGCAGCCACTACCTGCAGCGCAGCAGCAGCAGAAAACAGAACAAACCCGCAAGTCTTGCTGCTGCTGCAGTGTCCAGACACAGCAATTCAAAAAGGGTATAAAAGAATATAAATAAATAGGAATGATGCAGCACAACGCGCCAAATGCACTAGCGCTTCCCAAGTCCAAAAGCTGAATTTCACTGGGGTGTACAGACACCCGACAGTCTGCAGTGCCGCGGGTATTCAGGTGTACAGACACCCCAGCACTCGCTGCAGAACCTGCAGCAAAAGGGCCCGCGCTGCGCTGCTGCAGCAGCAGAAACCAGCAGCAGCAGCAGCAGAGAGGTGACCAGTGGTCCACAGGTGCTGCAGAGCGGGAAAAAAGGCGTGAAAACGCGCGCGGAAAGCTGCAACCTGGTGCTGCTGCTGCTGCGCCGCTAAGGGTGGTCCGGGGGCTGATCTGCGCACCTGTTAGTACAATTGGGAAGCAAAAGAAGGGAAATGGAGAAAGGAAAGGGAAGGGAATTTGCAAGAAGTGGAATATCTTGATATGGGCTCAGGAACAGCATCGACGGCTTCGCGCTGCGGCGCAGCGCAGGAGCGGCGCGAGCTAGCTGGGGAGGAAAGCAAACTGCTGGCGCCTTAGAGGAGAAAAAGGAGAAATATAAATTGAAAAAGAGAAAGAAAGAAAGAAATATAACACAGAATGAAGACAAAGGGGGGAATTCAAAGAAGTTGAACGGCGTGGGGGAGTGGCCACTGGTGAGCCGCTTCCGCCGCGCTGGTCCGTTTTAGCCACAACGTTTCAACAAGTTTCGCCGCGAAAAGATTAAGGCTTTCTAAAAAGCCAAAATAGGGGAATTAAAAGAAGAAAGAAAGCTCTAAAAAGTCCTTCTTTGTGTGCCGCTGGGCGGCGCAGCAGCAGCAGCCTCGGGCTGCTACGCCTCAAGTGCGAACACAGCCGTTTCGCCCTTAATTTCCCTTTTTCTTTCTTCCTTTTCTCCTTCAAACCTTTTAAACTTTATTTAAATTCCAATTCAGATTATGAAAACCCAAAAAGCAGCAAAAGCCCGCCCCAGTTCAAGTGTGTTGCTGCGCGCCGCCGCTACCTGCCGTTGTGGGTCAGCAGCGCCGGGCCGCAGATTCCACAATATTTCGCCGTTTTTCTTCCAAATTTATCCTTTTAAATGCATTTTAAACTCATTTCCGGCTTTTTCCTCGTTTTTAAGTGCAAAAAGAGCCCCGGGAAAGCGCCTAAACAGCAGCAGCGCGCACAGCTGGTGGCTGCATCGGCGCCACACACGAGCGCTGCAGCAGCAGCTGCTGAAAGTGCCAAAATACCACTAAAACAATTCAAAACTTTAATAAATGATTTTTTTAAAATTTAAAACCTCAAGAGGAAGAGACTCGCAAGCTTTTGAACTCCCTTTTTGCTGCTGCTGCTCACAATCCATTCAAGTTGAATATTCAAAAGATCCATTTGAGTGTAATTCAACTTCTACTCATTCTGCACTTCTCCCCCAGCCTCACCCTCCACAAATTTGAATTAAGAAATAAAATAAACACCAGAAAGACAAAATCTCCCCCAAATTCATCTCCAGAAATTCCTCAAGTTACTTTCTTACACCAAACAGTTCCCCAGAGCCTGCAGAGGCCTCTGGGGGCCCCCGGGGGCCCCCAGTGGCACTCAGGGGCCCCCGGGGGCCCCCGCGGAACGTCAGGGGCCCCCTGGGGCCCCCAGGTACCTGCAGTGGGGGCCCCCAGAAGACCCTAGGGGCCCCTAGGGTACCCTAAGGGCCCCCGGGGGGCGCCGGGGGTTTTGGGGGGCCCCTGGGGCCCCCAGAAGACGCTAGGGGCCCCCCAAAGACTTTGGAGGCCCCCAGGATTGGCAGTTTTTTAAATGCTGAAGTGGGAAGTTTAGAGCGTTTTCAAAAAGAAGTCTGTCTTTTCAAATTGCAAAACAGAAATTGATTTGAATGTCTTGTGCAATTTGCTGCTGCTGCTGCTACCACTGCTGCTGCTGCTACTGCCGCTGCTGCTACTGCCGCTGCTGCTGCTGTTACTGCTGCTGTTGGTACTACTGCTGCTGCTGCTACTGCCGCCACTGCTGCTACTGCTGCTGCTACTGCCGCTGCTACTGCTGCTACTGCTGCTGCTGCTACTGCTGCTACTGCTGCTGCTGCGACTGCTGCTGCTGCTGCTGCTGCTGTTCTTGAGGCTAGTGCCCTTTTCCCCTGCTGCAAATAGGTGCTGCCCTGTGTGTTTAGACCTCTTCTTAGGTTTTGCAAATTCTCTTTGAAAAATAAAATCATTTTAGTTCATTTTGAAATAAATAAAATCATCTTAATTCATTTTGAAAAAAAAATGAATTAAGATGATTTTATTTATTTAAAGGCCCTCAAGGTTAACTCTTAGAAGGTGTCAATTTGGTTCTCTATAGCATTAAACCCTCAAAAGCATTCCAAACCCTAAACCCTAAACCCTGGAACGTAAACTTAAAACCCTAAAACGTAAACCCTAGAAGGAAAGAGGCGAAAACAAATAAACAGGGGCTATGGAGTGAAAAAGGACTAGTTCAACGAGCAACACTAAAACCCTAAACCCTAAACCCTAAACCCTAAACCCTAGAAGGAAAAAGGGGGGGAAATGAAAAGGGAAAAGGACTGGAAAAGGAAAAGTTAAACAAAGAGGAAACAACAGTCAAGCCCTCGCCAGCCTCAGCCCCGGAAAATGAAATAAATAAATAAATAAATAAAAGGACAAAAGCAACAAAAAAACACAAATGAAATGTTCAAACAAAGAGGCTTCAGACAAAAGGGCGAAAGCAAACAAATCAACAACTGGATGGATACATCAATCGACAACAAATCAATTAATTATGAATTAATTAATTGACTTACAACTAATTAATTAATGGATTCATTCAATCTAATTAAATAAATAAATAATTAATTAAATTGAATTAATTAATTAAGTTGAAAAGCGAGGAGGAGAAAAAGGATAATCTGATGTGAGCCATTTCACGGGATAGAACTCGTGGGAAAATTTCGATTCTTCAACAGTCACCAAACGCCAGCCGGGTCTGCAAAAAAAGGGAAAAAAAGAGAAAAACGAATTAAAAAAGTGAAAATAAATCACAAGACAAAAAGCAACAACAAAGGGACAAAACGAAGTTCGAAAATTAAAATTTTTGACAATGGCCACGGGGGCTGCCCGCGGTAGCCCAGGTGTCTGTACACCTCGCGGGTGTAGCGGCGCTTTCCTCTTTTCAGATTTTGATTTATAAACATGTATAAATAAGTATTTAAATTTATATTTATATTTATTTATAATAAATGTTTATAAATATTCATAAATATAAGGTTAAAATGCAGTTAAACACCTTCCGTCGTTCGTTGCGAAGCCGCAAGAACTCGTCACTATTTGGGGTGTATCTCCATCTTGCAGCAAAGAGTCGTAATGCAAGTGGCCATGAAAAGAAGCAGCAACCTGCAAATTAAATTCAAAATAAAACTTTTATTCTTTCAAATTCTCACTTAATGCTTTCTCCACTTCATTAAATGCTTCATTTAATTCTCTGGGACTTTCTACTAAACTCCCAATTCATCCTTTTGCTGAGGGCCCCAAAAGAAGGAAAAAGCTGCTGCTGCTGCTGCTACTGCTGCTGCCGCTGCTTCTGCCGCTGCTACTGCTGCTGCTAGTGTGCGCATTGTCTCGGTTTTGTTTCTTTGTGTTGAGATTTAGGTCATTTGAAAGAACATTTTAGTAGTATTTAAAAAACATTTAAAAGAGAAACTTACGTTGTACTTTTTCATCAAAGGCTGAAATCTTTCTCTCCACCTTTTGGGCAGTTGGAAGAGCGACACTGGGTTGTGCTGTACGTACACCCCAACACCCCCGCTCAGCAATTGTTTGAAACTGCAATTCTTTTACATTTTTATTTTAATTTAACTGTATTTAAATCAAATTAATAACTGGTTTTTCCCATTTGTTTGAACTACACACACAGCTGCAAGAAAAATGCTGAGTGGCAGCAGCAAGCAGCAGCAAGAGTTGTTCAGTAACAAACACAAAAACAAGAAGCAAAAAAAGAAATTGGGCTTTGAATTTAAATTTAATTAATTGAAAATAAATAAATAAGTAAATAAATAAACAAGAGTAATGGACGAGGAAATCCAAACAGAGAGAGCTCAGAAAGGCGAACACGAGAAACAAAAAAAGCGAAAAAAATGTCTAAACTGACAAGAGAGGAGCTTTACTAAATAAATAAACAAAAAGGAACATTTTGTCAGCCAAATAAGCAAAAAAGAAACAAAAAAGAAGAAAAAAAGAAAATTAAAAAGAAGTTGAAGCAGCAAATGGCCTACAGCTCGCATCTGCCTAACTTCCACTGTGTTTGTCTTGTCGTCTGCCTCCCCCCAATTGTCCCAATAAAACTGGTGATGTTGGAGAAGAAACTGCTGCTTAGCGCCTTCAGAAAGATCAAAAAATAAAAATAAATTAATTAATTAAAATTCGGACTTGCGCTGCGTTTTCGCGGCGCTGCTGGGGTGTACATAACACCCCAGCGCGCACGGGTGTAAGTACACCCCAGCGTGCAGAAACCGCTGGGGAAAAAACGCAAATCGGCGCCGTTTGTGGAAAATTAAATCAGAAAATGAACAATAAATGATGAATTAATTGTTAATTATTAATTAATTAATTAATGAGAAGATAAAGCAACAAGTGGAACAAAACCTCCACTGGTAGCTGTTCTGTGTTCAAGTTTGCAAATGCAAAACTTTTTCTTTTACCTTTTTCCATCCCGTCTTTCAATTCATTTTCAATCCACTCAAACTGTTCCTGTTAAAAAGCGAAAAAAAACCTTCAAGATTTATTTGAAATGAAATAAATCAACATGAACTGCACAAAACGAACAAGAGCTTCGCATGCGCACCGCAAAAGTGTCCGGCTAGCTGGCTAGCTAGCTAGCTTGCTAGCTAAGTAGGTAGCTAGCTAGCTGGCTAGCTAGCTATTTAGTTAACCAGCGAACTAGCTAGCCAGCCGCGCCATCTAGATCTAACTAACTCCTGAGACAGACACCCTAAATAGCTGGCTCGCTGGCAGGCGGTGCAGATAACCAGACTGCCGCACAGCCAGCTAGCTAGCTAGCCAGCTAGCCGGCTAGCTAGCTAGCCAGCTAGCTCGCTAGGTAGATAGCCACATACACACACAGACAGATAGAGAGCCAGAGTCCAAGCTACCTGCGTATTTAGCTAGCTAGCCAGCTAGCTAGGTATTCAGCTAGCTAGCTAGCTAGCTAGCTAGCTAGCTAGCTAGCCATTGCTTGCCTCTGCGAGTTCTTTGGCGTTTGTGTCGTCGTAAAGAACAGAAGAATTCGCAGCGACGAATTTGACGCCTCCGAACCAAAAGCTGAAGTGGTCCTTTCCTTCAAAACAAAAAAAAGGAAAACAAAAAACAAAAAATCAAAAATGGAAAAATTAATTTAAAATGCCGGACTTTGGCAAGAAAATGCGAGCCCTCGCTGACCAGCTAGCTGCCTAACTAGCTAGCCAGCTAGCCAGCGAGTCGGCTAGCTAGCTAGCCAGGCAGTTGGCTCGCTAGCTAGCTAGCTAGCTAGCTAGCCGGCAACCTAGCTAGCTCGCTAGCTGGCTAGCTGGCTAGCTGGCTAGCTAGCGAGCTCGTTGTTTGTCTCTGCCAGTTTATTCATTTAAATCTTTAAATCCATTAAAACTTTATTTCAAATTTAAAATGTTTACCCCACAATTGCTCATAGTCTGCAATTGAAGCTGCTGTGGGGGCGTTGCCCACGTCGTGGTTTCCGGGGAGCACGAGCTGTACGTACACCCCAAATCGAGCCGCGGGGGCCCAAAGAAGTTCAAAAGAATTTTAGTTTAATTTTAATTTAATTTTAGTTTTAATTTTAAATCGTTTTAAGTGGACTTTCTCAACAAGAATTCGACTTTGTTCAATCATTTGAAGTGGATACTTCTCGAAAGAAAAAACGCCTTTGGTCTACGGTTTTAGGGTTTAGGGTTTTCTAGGGTTTAGGGTCTAGGGTTTGGGGTTTTGTAGGGTTTAGGGTTTAGGGTTTCTAGGGTTTAGGGTTTAGGGTTTAGGGTTTAGACGCACCACTGGCACATCTTTGCTCGGTTTGTCAATGACATCTTTCAAGTCTTTTGCTTGTTGGTCCTGCGCGCACGCGGTGTACGTACACCCGATTTTGCATGCAGCCCATTTTCATTCAATTATTCAATTGGCATTTATTTTCCACTTTTCACTTTTTCTCAATTGATCAGAAAATTCCTAAATTGGAGTTTTGCACTTCAAAGAGGCCAATCTAGAAAAAAAACTAGCTCGAAAGATCTTTTTAAACAACCACTTGAAAATCTGCTCCAAACCCTAAACCCTAAACCCTAAACCCTAAACCCTAAACCCTAAACCCTAATATGGGTAGTCTGCAGCCCTGGCTTGCCCGGACGGCTCTGACTTCGTCCTGGAGGCTCTCCTGGCTGAGGGCCGGCACTGGCGCATGCACGAGGTCTCCCAAGATGGCAATAAATGCGGGTTTGGAGCTGAGGGAAGCTGCAGCAATAATGCACTCGGCAACTTGCTGCCGCTCCTCTTCCCAGGAGTTGTTGTTGCGGTAAAGACCAAACTGCAGACAATAAAACGAAAAAGAATGCAAAAAACCGCAGAAGAAGTGGCAATCGGGAGGCGAAGCACGGGTCACCGGGAGGAAGCGAAGCAGCTGAGGTGTACATACACCTCAACTGTGAGCTGGAAGCGGCGCACGAAAAACCCATTTGAGTCTTCCGTTGCCGTATTTCAGTTGATTTGAAGAGGAAATTCAAAAGAAATTGTGTTTGTTTTGTTTGTTTTCTTTCTTTCAAGCCAAAACCGCCAACAATTACCTGCGGATCGGCGATGAGCGCAAACGTGAACGGGCTGGACCATGTGAGTTGGTCTTCCGCCCCTGGGAGGGTGAAGGAAGTGTTTTGGACTTTAACGAGCATTTTAATTGAAGTCAAAAAGGAAAAAGAGTTAACAAAGAAACAAATCTATCTGAAAAGGGGCGGAAACGCCCTGGGTGAGCTGACAGGCGGTGTAGAACAAGGGTGGCTGCTGCGGCGCACGCAGCCTCAAATTGCGGCAAATTTCCCGGCTTTACTTATTTTTTAATTCATTTTTCATATTCAACAAATAAAGCTCATCAAGGGGGCCCCTAATTCCCGCAAAGTCCCGCCGACTGCCCGCTTCTGGGGGCCCCACGAAGGCGGCGGCGTCTTCGTTTGTTCAGAATTCAGGTGTACAGACAGCTCCGCCTCCTTTCCCACACCCTCCTTCACGCAACGCGACTTATGAAACTCCGTCAAATTAATTTATTTACTCTTTTCAAATTGTTTGAATGGGATATTGACAAGAGCTGCAGCCAATCCGCTCCAAGGGACAGCCCAGAGTGGCCGGCAAGTGAAAACCCAGCAAACTCCCGCCCCCAGTGCTGCTGCTGCTGCTGCTGCTGCTGCAGCAGCAGTAGCTTGTGAAGGGCAGTCGGAAAGAAGCTGCGAGCTTCGGCGTTTCTGGGGATAGGGCTGCGGTGTACGTACACCTCACGCGGGTGCACAGAGGGGAAGACCAGAGTAGATACACACGAAGTGTTAGAGTGGAGAAAAAAAGAAAAGTTTCACATTTTCTTTTGTTTCAAGTGTCTCTGGGTTGCAGCAGAGCTGCAGCAGCATCGGCAGCAGCAACAGCAGCAGCAGCAGCAAGCCTCGAGACTTTGCTTCGTTTCTTTTTGCTTTTTTTATTTTAATTTCATTTCTAATCCGGAAAAACCAGAAAACAAACTTTTTTCTCCTGAGGAGGAGTAGACCACTGGTCACCACCAATTTGCAAAACTTCATCTTTTTGTTTCATTTTTAAATTCTTTTTTGCTTCGAAACTTCTCAAGTGACCAGTGGTCCAGTTGCTCCGCTGCGGGTGCTGAGGTGTACGTACAGCTGGGCTTGCAGCAGTGCCTCCCAAATGCCAAAAAATATCCACAAGAATATTAATGCACAAAAGCTTCATCCCGTAGCAACAGCAGCAACAGCAGCAGCAGCAGCAGCTGCTGCTGCTGCTGCTGCTGCTGCTGCTGCTGCAGCTGCTGCTGCTGCTGCTGCTGCAGCAGCTGCTGCTGCTGCTGCTGCAGCTGCTGCTGCTGCTGCTGCTGCTGCAGCTGCTGCTGCTGCAGCTGCTGCTGATGCTGCTGCTACTGCTGCAGCTGCTGCTGCTGCTGCTGCTGCGGAGGCAGCAGCGACAGTGCAGCTCTCTCTTAGAGAGTTTTTAAATCCTTATTTGCCAAAGAGATTATTTCTGAAAATGCAAAAAAGTGTTTTTAATCTTTTAGAGAAAACCCTGAATACACCCCATGGCATTTTTTGCTTCTGTCATTTATTTTCCTTTCTCTTTTTCGTTTTTTACCTGGTATTCACATTGCCCCCCTTTCTTTTATTTTTTATTTTATTTCTTCCAACTTTGCCGCTGCCCTTTTTGCTCTTTGGTGAGCTGTCTGTACACCCGAGAACAGTCAAGCAGCAAAAGCAGCAGCCATTTGTGGGGTCTCGGGCCTCCAGTTTGCTTTCTGCGCTGCTGTTGCTGCTGTTGCTGCTGCTGCTGCTGCTGTGGCCGACGCTGCCGCTGTTGCTTTGCTGCTGCTGCTGTGGCTATCGCTGCTGCTGTGTCTGCTGTGCTGCTACTGCTGCTGCTGCTGTGGCTTGCTGCCTTGAATGCATTTTTCGCGGGTGCAGCTGAGGCTGCTGTTGCTGCTGCTGCTGACGCTGCATTTGGCGGCACAGCTTTCGCTGCTATTTTCTCTGCACAGAGCAACGCAGCAGTTGCTGCTGCTGCTGCTGCTGCTGCTGCGCTGCGTTACTGTTCTGCTGCTGGACAAAAGACAATAAAATTCGGAGATGTAGGCATTGGATATCTCCGCTTTCCCTTGGGAGGATCGGGCTGCTCAAAAAAACAAAAAACTAAAAGTGACAGCTTTGTGGGGTTGCAGTGTACGTACACCTCAAACGCTAGCTATGGCTAGCCAGGCATTCACCCATTTGCTGCTTTAGCTTTCATTCTAGCTGCCTGGCTAGCCAGACGGCCAGTTAGCTAGCTAGATACCTGGCTAGCTGCAGGCCAGCTAGCTAGCCACGTGAGCGGTAGAAGGTTGAGTTTACTGGGTGGGTTCTGGCTGACTAGCTAGCCGGCCAGTTAGCTAGCTACTCATACCCAAGCAGCTAGCTAGCTAGCTGGCTAGGGCTATTTAACCAGCTAGCTAGCTAGCTCGCTAGCTAGCTAAGTGGCTGGTCAAACAGCTAGCTAGCTGGTCAGTGCTGCAGCGCCGCTGGTGCGTGTGCTGGAGCGCAGTGTCTGTACACCCGAAGCGGAGCAGCTGGAGCTCCGCGTTGAAGTGTCTGCTGAACTTTTGGGATTAAATTGAATTTGAAAGTAATTAATTGGAAAAGAATTAAAAGAATTGTGGAATCCTACAGGAATGAACTGAGGCTGAAATATGCTCGAGGTCAAACTTTGCAAATACTGCTGCCGGCTGTAGGTGAGCGAGGGGGCGGGCGGGGGGGGCCCCTGAGACCAGGGGTAGAGTCCTGCTGCTGCTGCTGCTGCTGCTGCTGCTGCTGCTGGACATGCAGAGGCGAGGCGGAGGCGGCTTCTCCGGCCCTGTGCGGGGCGTTGGAGTGTCTGTACACCTTGGGCGTCTTCGGGGTCGCCTGGGGCTTCAGCAGCAACAGCAGCTGCTTCCGCTGCAGCGCGAGTTGCTGCTGCTTCTGCTGCTGCTGCTGCTCCCAGCTGCTGGTGCGCAGAGGGCTGCAGCACCTGGTACATTTCGTTCGACTGCAGGTGCTTTGGGACCTTCTGAACTCTGCTGCAGTTCTTGCCGGGGGCGCAGCAAGGAATGTGCATGCAAGTGCTGCTGCAGGTGCCATCAATTATGCTTTTGACGGTGCCTGCTGCTGCTGCAGCAGCTGCTGCACTGCGACGCGCAGACGGGGGCGGGGGCCCCACAGGAGGCATTAATTGCTTCCTTTCTAGGGAGAAAAAAAATGGCCTTGGCTCCATTGGCCTCGTAGAGGCAGACTCTGCCTAGAGGAGAGCAGCGCCTGCAGAACGGGGTGTACGTACACCCCAGCGCCCCAGCTTGCGGCCCCAAAAACGGAAACTTGCAAAAAAAGAAACTCAACTGCAGCCCGGCTGCCTCCGCTGGAAACTTTGAAAGAAAGTTAATTGAAAAGAAGTAAAACTGAGAAATAAATCTGAAGACGGAAAAAACGGAAAGTGGCAAAGTGCAGCTCCGCACACTGGTGTCCACAGAAAGCTCTCTGAGGAAACAACTAATGAAAGAATTAATTCTTTCGTTTTAAACTTTTTTCTTTTTTTATTTATGAATTTATTGCTGTATTTTGATTCGGTCACAGTTGCCTGTTTTCGGCATTTCAAAGCAGCCAATGCAGCGGCGCTTTGCAACTGCAGTGTCTGCTCTATCTCGAAGAAGTTGAACCCAGAAAAAGTCGAACACAGATGGTCTAAAAGAACATGTTTCTTTTCTTTATTCAATACTTTCCCAATAATTGAGTCCCTAAGCAAGTAGCAAGCAACAAACTAAGAGAGATCCTGCAGAAATATCTGAGTTCCAGCGTGCTCCTGTGCTGCGGAAACAATTGGATGGGTCTTGAGGCTTGTGCTGTACGGAAAAACTGTAAAAGAAGCTCTTGATCAACCAATTTAAACCTAATAAATGTTTAAATTCAATTAAAGTTGCAAATTTACTTTTTAAAAGGGAAAATATAGGGAAGATTACGGCCATTTCAGCGGCCGCTGCTGTTCTCGAGCTGCGCATGCGGTGCTTGCGTAAGTGTTTCCATTTCACTTACCTGAGTTTTAAATTCAAAAAAGTTCTAAAACACTTTTTAAATATAATTTATGTTAATTTTTATCTTTTTTTTTTGAAAATCTCTAGGAAGATTGTAAAAAATGTACTTCAGAGCAGCGGGCCCGCCAGCAGGTGACCTCCGGCTGTACGCTGGGCAGGCTGGCCCACGGGTAGAATCACTTTATTTTGCTTCAATTTGACTGTGAATAATAAAATTTTATCCTTTTTATTACAAAATAAATATAAATTATAATCCTGAAGTGCATTATTCCTTCGATTCTTCCCGCGGATCGCCTAGCGCTGGCAGCCCTGCAGGGCCAGATGTTGTTTTGAATATTTTGCCTGTCACACCGCGGCATTGCACGAAGCAAATAAGCATGCATGCAAAAATTATGAAAGTATTTACAATTCAATTAAACTCTGAGATTATTTTCATCGATTGTTCCGTGCAAATAGGGAGGGTCACCTCGACTCCTCCTGCTGAACTCAATGCCATTCAACACTTGGCTCATTTCGCTCATTTACTCTTGCTTTCCGAAGTTTTCTCTTTTTGCCACATATTTTGAGCCTTTAAGTATTTATTCTGTCTTCTATTTATGTTGCATGCAGACACGAGCACTCAGAAAAGTGCCAAACTCCGTTGAACTTGCGCATGCAACTTACTTCACTTGGGTCTTAGCCTGAAACTACCCGCACAACTGGCAAGTTTGTGCGGCCACAAACTCCCAAGCCATTCCAGTGGCATTTATTCATGAGGAAACAAAAATAGAACAAAAGTAAAATTAATTAAAGGGCGAAAGTTCAAGAAAATGAAAGAAATAAGCTGACCTCCCATTCACCGAAACTGTATGAAAGCAAAAGAACAAATTCATTCTTTAGCTGCTCAGAAAGCAGCGGCGAATAATCAAATTAGAAAATGAATTCAAATTATTAGAAGACTTCTGCATGCGCAAATGAAAAGTAGAAAATATAGAAAACAATTAATTCTTAAATTCCGGATTATAAACAAAAACGAAAAACAGACAGTCTTGGAAATTTCAAATGTGCAAAACATTCAGAAATCGGCAACTGGTGTTCACCCAAAAGAACCTCGATAGGTGAAAAACTTTAGTGCAAAACACGAAGCAGAAAAGTTGGAAATGTTACTGAAGTCATTTAAATGAAAAAGGAGAATTAAATAATAAAATTAAACGACTAAAACTATTCTTTAGAGGAGCTCCGGCTCTTTATTTGCAACACAGCTCCAAAATGAGCTCTCCTGTTATTTTTTTTGATTCTGAATTCAAGAAAATGCGAAAAAACAAACTTGTGAAATCACAACTGCTGTTCCCCATGCCTATTTATTCATTATTTCGACAGCTAAGCGTATCAACAAAAGTGCAAATAAACATCTTCTGCGGAAGCTCGGCGAAAACAAAAACAGAAACTCCAACTTTCGTAGTTTTTACATCTTTAAATTCATTTTTCCTGAAAACAAATGCGAAAAAGTGAATAAAGATGCTTAGATATACTTCTTTTTCGGTTGTCACAGGGGAAAAAAATACAAAAATTTGCAAAGCTGCAGCAAGTAACTTTGTGCCCAGCGACTCACGAGTCTGTTCAACAACTTGAACTGAAGCAAATAATCCCATTTCTTTTGCACTTTTGGAAAAACAGAAAGAAGTAAAATGCTATTTTACGACAAAATAAGCAATTACCACCTCATCAGCAATGCAGATGCAGCAGCAGAGCTGCAAACAGAAAGATGAATTAACAAATGAATCGGAAACTGGCAAACAGCCGGCGAGAAAACACGGAAACAATGTGCAGAAAAAGGAACAGATGCATGCATTTGAAGGATAAATCAGATCAAATCAAATCGACGATGAATACAGGCTGAAATAGGCGAAAGAGGTAATGCCCGCACACCCGTAGCAGCACACGCCCAAAGAGCCAAATTCCCATGCAGCAGGACCACCAGGAAGCAAATAAATAAATTTAAAAATATTATTGTTGTTAAAATAGAAGAGAAGACGCGAAGAAAGACACTGGACCCCCGAAGATCCTGCAGTTTTCATTTTTTGTGAATTCGCCTGAGAGCCAGAGGCAGCAGCTTCTTTCTCTTCTGCCTTCTGCTGCTTTCCTGGCCAGTTTACTTGTGCATCTTTTTCTGGAATTAAATTCAATGTGCAAATGTGCTGCATTAGATGAAGTTGAGCTTTCAGTTTGCTGCTCATGTTTCTGCTTCTTGCTGCTGCCGTTTGTGCTCAGCTTCGACTTTTCTCTTGGCTTTATTTCGATCTATTTTGCAAACTAAAACTATTAATTAATGCACATCGGAGTCCCCAGCCCTGTTTGCTGTTGCTGCAGCCGCAGCGGCTGCTGCTGGGCAGAGAGCAGCGCAGCAGCGCCGCCCTGCTGCTGCGCCCGGTGCTGCTGCTGCAGCACATCGGGAACAAATGCAGAAAGTAAAAGAGAAAGGGAAAAGGAAAATCAATTACACACTCTGGAGTGGAAAAAGGGGAAAAGAGAAATGCAACAAAAGCCCTGCTGGCTGAAAGAGACATGTACATGTACCCCCAGGGACAGCAACTCCTCCTCTTCGGGGCTCCGGGTAATCTTATTATTCTTTTGATGACAAAAACCCAAAATAATAAATCTATTTATTAATTTGGAGCACTTGGAGAGCCCTAGAAAGCGTGGAGGGCGTCGCGGGCGTCAGACACGCGTGGCAGAAGCAGCAGCAGCTCGACTATGCCGCTGTTGCTGCTGCTGCTAGCAGCAGCAACAGCAGCAGCAGCGGCTGCTGCAGCTGCTGCTGTTACTAGTCGGTTGCGAGGGGCAGCGGGGTCTTGGAAGTGCTTTTGTTTCCGCGTTTTTGACGAGAAGTAGAAATAAGCGCAAGAAATAGTAATCATTTTGTAATTTTACCTGCCTATACACCTCAGTCAGGCGCTGAACGACTCCTCTGCTGCCGCTCCTTCTGTGGCCGCAGGGCTCTGTGGGCATCTTGCCTTTTGCTGCTGGAGAGAAGCAAAATTCATTTCTTTTCTTTTCTACTTTTCGCATCTACTCAACAGAGCCAACCCGGCGCTGTGCCCCTTACAGACACCCGCCTCCTTGCAGCAGCAGCTGCTGCTGCTGCTGCTGCTGCAGCATTTCATGCTTCTTCTTCTGGCCCTCTATCTGCCCCTTTAGCCACACTGCTCTACGCACTGCCCATTTTTGCGCTACATCTGTAGTTGCATACTCAGTTGGCGCCTCCGGGCTGTTGCTGCTGCTGCTGCTGCTGGAGGCCCCTGCTGCTGCTGGAGGCCCCTGCTGCTGCCTTGGGTTGCAGCGCGAGCGGGCACAGCTTTCCGCTGCGCGGGGAGAGCAGCAGCAAGTGTCTCAGCCGCATGGCTGGACCTCCAGACTGAGGCCTCCGTAGCTTTTCTGTACAGCAGCTGCAGCAGCTGCAGCGGCTGCAGCAGCAGCAGAGCCACAAACTGCTGCGGACTGCAGCAGCAGATCTGCCCCGGACGCGCGCGAGCGCAGCGAGCAGCTGAAGGAGCAGCAGCAGCAGCAGCAAAACAAGGACTGCAGCAGAGAACAGGAATATGTACCAACCTAGGCCGGCAGCGGGAGTGGGGCGCCCGCGCCCCGCTGCGAGCAGCAGCAGCAGCAGCAGCAGCAGCGCGATTTCAGCTGCTGCGCCCCATAGAAGAAACTTCGCCGCACCCACTGGGGCACTGGCCCGGGGGCCCCCCGGGGTCGGCAGCACTGCAGCAGCTGTGGGGGGCCCCCCAGGGGGGCCCCCAGGGGCCCCCGGTACCTCTCCCAGCCGCCCCAAGACTTTAGATGCGCTGCTGGGTTCTATAATGCTGCGGGATGGCCCCGCGAGCCGCAGCGCGCCAGCAGCAGCACAAGCTGAGGGTTCTGCTGCTGCTGCGCTTCAGCAGCACAGCAGCAGCAGCGTGGGGGTCCCCGGGGGCCTCCTGGCGGGCCTGGGAGGCGGCAGTTCTCCAGTTGCTGCAGCAGCAAAAGTCGTTGCTGCTTCTGCTGCAGACATCTCTGCAGCCAAGAGCAGCAGCCCGGCCACTGCGCCCACGCGCAAGCGCTGGGACTTGCCTGCTGCAACGGCTGCAGCAGACGACAGCAGCAGCAGCAGCAGCAAGAGCCCCGTCGCCGCTGCAGCAGCGCGCGGGCAGCAGCAGCAGCAGCAGCGGCGGCTGCCCCTTGCCAAGGGCTCCCCGCTGGGGCTGCAGGGCTCTGGGGGCGCCACCCCCAACAGTCTTGCTGCTGGTTTCTTTGCCCCTGCTTCAGCTCCCCCCAAAGATGACACTCCTGCTGCTGCTGCTGCTGCTTCTCTCTTCACGAGGAACATCTCGCAGCAGCAGCAGCACGACGCCCAGCAGCAGCGCCAGCAGCAGCAGCAGAAGCCGACTCTTTGGGGGCTCAAGCGCGTGGGGGCTGCTGCTGCGGGTGGTGGGGCAGCGCCTGCAGCAGCAGCAGCAGCAAGGGGAGACGACAGCAGCAAAGCTGCACTGGGGTCTGTCTTGGCAGATGGGACTGCTGCTGCTGCTGCTGCTGCTGCTTCCCCGTCTAAGGGCAGGGAAGCAGCAGCAACGGCGCAGAGCGAGGAGCCGGGCGCAGCTGCAGCCCCGGCGCCATCATCAGCAGCAGCAACACCGGCAGCAGCAGCAGCGGAGCCGCCTGCTGCTGAGGCCAGGCAAGGCCCGGTCTACACGCTGCAGCAGCTGCTGGCAGTCCACCTGCTGCAGCGGGAAGCAGATGCAGCAGACGTTAAGGCTGTGCGCTCGCTGCAGCGGCCGGACCACCCCACAGCATTCTTTGCTGCTTCTCTCGAGTCGCTGAAGCAGCAGCAGCAGCAGCAGCAGCTGACGCATGCAGCGCGACCTGTACGTGAACCACATCGGCTGCTGTGGCTGAGGGCAGCAGCACACAGACGTGCCGCTGGTCGCTGCAGCAACAGCACTCGCAACAGCAGCAGCAGCAAGAACAACAGCAGCAGCAGCAGCAGCATTTCTAGCAGCCTTTTCGTTTAGCTGCGTGTTTGTGCGCTGTGCTCTTTGCAGGAGGGCCTAACCCCTGGCAGCAGCGAGCGTCCCGCCGCCTACGCTCGAGGAGCGGAGCAGCAGCAGCAGCAGCAGCAGCAGCAGCAGCAGCAGCAAGGGGCCTGGATGGCGCGGGGCCCCGGCGAGGAAGCAATTCGCCGAGGGCCAGAAACAGAGGGCCTGAGCCCCGAAGTGCATAGGAGGTTTCCAGCCAGTGAGCCCCAAACCCTAAACGCTAAACCCTAAACCCTAAACCCTCGAAGGACAGAAGTAGGTCAGAAAAGAAGGGGACAAAAGGAGGCAGCAGCAGCAGCTGCTGCTGCTGCAGCGAAGAGGGAACAGGGGCAGAAATAGGTTAAAAGAAACAGGTTTTAAGAGGCAAAAACAAGAAATAAAAAGGAGACAGAAAGAGGAGACAAAGTATTTTCAAAAGAGACAAAAAGTTTATTTAAAGGAGACAAAAAGTAGATTCAAGAGAGGCAAAAAGTATATTTAAAAGGGGAGAAGAGTTTAGAATTAGAGGAGACAAAGAGAGGCAGCAGCAGCAGCAGCAGCAGCAGACTTGAAGAGGCCAGAAGTGGGGCAGCAGCAGCAGCAGCAGCAGCAGCAGCAGCAGAGGGTACAAATAGGCAGAGACAGCAAAGGGCTGAAAAGAGACAACTGCAATTTTGACTGAGAAATGAAAAGGAGACGAAAAGATAAAATAAAATTATAAATTATAAATTATAAATTAGAAAGTAAAAGTTAGAAAGAGATGGGAAAAGGTGGAGACGGAGAGAAGAAGCAGCAAAAAAGCAGCAGCAAAAGAAGCAGCGGCAAGAGAAGCAGCAGCAAAACAAGCAGCAGCAAAACAAGCAGCAGCAGTGTCTCAAAGGCATTCAAATTGCTGCTGAAAAGCAGACAGTCTAGAAATAAAAAGGAGACAACTTGGAAATAAAAAATAAACAATTTAGAAATAAAAAGAAACACTTCAGAAATAAAAAGAAGACAATTTAGAAGTTAAAAGGAGACGGTCTAGAAGCAGGAGCAGCAGGAGCAGCAGCTCAGCAGCAGCAGGGCCACAGAGGCCTTGATATGGACTTAGCAGCAAAATGGAAAATTCAGAGAAGGAAAATAAATTAGAAGTAAAAATGGACCAGGCTCCTGTCTTTGTCGAATTTGCGTCCATTTATTTCTGCTGTTTCTGCTGCTGCTGCGGCTGCTGCAGCTGACAAGGCCCACGGCGAGCTCCCCGAAGCAACTGCGGGGGGCCCCCTGGGGGCCCCCCGAGGGTCTTCTCCGCTGCACCTGCGGGCTGGCGGGCCAGCGGGGAGCGAGGGCGAGGGGACTCTGCAGCAGCAGCAGCAGCAGCAACCGCGGTTGCCCTTTGCTCGCCGAATGTTCG